CTCCACTGCTTCCACAAGCATTGGGCTTCCTGGGGGATGTTCTTTTATCCTACCCCAATTTATCTTTTCTGACATAGGGGGTATTGTAGTTGACTTAAGTGTTGTGACATGCTGATCAACGGATGCAGCAACACTTACCGGAATTTGGCCTTTGTTGTTTCCAAACGTCATTTTATCAAAGTTAACTACACACTTCCTCGATAGTAAATAGTCCAATCCTAATATACATTGGTATTCAATGTCAGCCAAGTATGTTTTCTGTCTGTTCTTCATGCCCATGAGCTCAATAGTTACCCACTCTGGTCCCCACAACCTTGCATAATGTCCTGTCACACCACAGAGCTTCTGTACAGCTTCTGGTACTCCTTTGTGATCCAGCACCTTGATACTCACAAGGGTTTGCTGAGATGCAGAATCTATGACCAAGTTGCACCTTTGGCCATCCAGCTTCCCTGTCACATAAACACTATGTGTGCTTGCCATTTTACACTTAGCTGTTGGGACTTTCACGATGGTGGTTGGTGGGTATCCCTCAGCACCAACCACTACTGGTTTCCCGAAGCTGACTTATTGGTGGTATTCTTCTTACACTGGTTCCTCATAAATTATGCTGAATAATCATACTTTTCTTTTTAATATTTTCTATCGATTGATCAGTTAGTGAGCTATATATTTTAATTTATTTATGTCTAGCTGTTTTTGTTAAATTGTATAGCAATATATGCAATTGTACTTAGTGTTGTGGAAAACTAAAAATTGTATGCAATGTCACTCAGCCTATGTAAATAATGAATAGTTTCTTCTGACAATGCAAATAAATATTTCTTATTGAAAGTTCTCCGTTTACCGAAGTTAAGCTTATTATAGTAGCAAATTTCTTTAAATTATTTAAATTTACATTACTGCAATTACTAGCTTGGTTATTGATGTTATTAGCATATCAGGTTTTTCACACAAATCAGCTTACAAGTTACAACTTACAGTGATCTGTACTTATACAGGGTCTCTGACCATTTTTATAGGTCATGACTCCAAATTTGGTGATGTTTGATATTTAGTTTAGTTACATTTAGTGTAGTAGATGAAGTACAGCATTAAGCATAAATTTTAAAATATTTGTATCTAAAATAAAACCTATATCATCATAGTATATGAGTATTGTCTTTGATTATCATTTAATTTTAAGTAATCTTGATGTTTAAGTGAATGAAAACTACAGTGACAATTTATTCGTATTGTTTTTTTTTATGTATTTGTACAATACATGCCTGAATCTGTTCTCTAAAATAATAAACTTGGAAACTTAAATGTCTGTGAAGAAAATTGTTATTGCATTATATTTTGCAGATGCAGCTTGCTGAAATTGTAGGAGTGCGTGTGAAAACAATTTTTAAAATTAAATGTGTGAAATTTGTGTCAATTCTGTAAAGTTGTAACCTTAATAATACTATAATGTGTTTGTTATGTTAGTAACACTTTAAAAAATGATATGTATGTGTGATTTAGAGGTTTACATTTATTATGTTTTTGGAAATTGGACATACTGCTTACAATTACATAATTGAAAATTTATCTTGTAAGTTTTCTTAATATATATAATTTTAAAATATAGATCTAAGGATAATGCTAATTCAGCTATAATTCTCAGTGCTTCAGATAATTCTTAGCTTGCTATTGAATTGTAATTAAAAATTTTAAATACATGCAAGATATTATAACAAAAAATTGATAAGATTGTAAATTCGTAAATGTTTTTTAACATTAATGCTATTTTTGATGTAAATGATATATAATACACTTTTTTATTTATTTTAAGAGAAAACAATTTCAGGTAACATGTCCTCATGTGACAATCTCTCCATTCCAGGTGTCATCCAAGACTGAACATAGCATTCCAAATGTAGGCTAACCAGTGACCTATACAATGAAATTATAACCTCTTTCACACTTATTTTTAATATTTTTGTAGATACAACCTATATTACTATTTGACCAGCTACTAGTAACAGCACACTGCTTGGATGGCTTTAGACTGATAAACCAGAATATAAATCACAAGTACGTGAAACATAGTAAATGTAAACTATACATAATTTGATACTTTTTCAATATATTAATAGTGTATATTGTATGCAAGTCCATAATGTGTGTTTGTGTGTGTGGCTCAAGAAACATTTATTCCCAGTTTTCTGATAATTACAATTAATTTGTTACATGTAAATCTTATCAAATATATAAATGACTATGTATTTCAAATTTTTCTGTGGAGAAAATATGTATGATCTCTCAGGTTACTTATGCAGATGTATAAATTTGCAGTAGTTTTATAACATAACATAATTTTTTGGGACAATATGGAATCTATTGATCCATCTCAGTTGTTCCATCCTCAAAACTAAATTAATATGATTAAAGAAATAAAATAAAATTTTAAACCCAGCTCTTTTCATTCATATACTTATCAAGCTTTTTCTTAAACTCACTTAAATTTGCTGCCTCTACAGCATCTGAAGGTAACCCATTCCAAAGGCCAA